GGGCCCCCTGCTGCGTCTCCGCTCCCTGCAGGCGATAAACCCGCCTTTGCCCTGGCAGCCTGATCCCGTCTAAAGGCGCTAAATCCTGCTGACGGGCCCCGAGCTGACAAACTGCAAGCTGCCGGCCAGGCCGTTTCCGCCGGAGAAGGCAGCGGGATTGCTTGCCGCGCCGGTGGGAAGGGGGCAGAGAAAGCAGAGCCGGTGGCTCGGTGCACCCCACCTTGGCTCTCCTTTGAACACGGAGTCCAGTTCAAGGTCTCCAACCTAGTATTCAAAGCCCAGCATGGGACAGGCCCCAGTGACCTAAGCAATCAATCACCTCTCCTTATGCAGCGATGACCTCACATGACAGATACGTTCCAGTGGAACAATGAAATTGCCGACCACTTTGGGGAGAGGAGGAAGGGATGAAAGAAGGGGAAAGAGCCTTATGACCTGAGGAACAGAACATTCACCGGAGGCAAGGGCGGCATGAGCCTGGGGGAAGCAGTTATTTCGGCTCCTTTTCTGCAACGTGCAAGTTCAAACTGCTCCGGGGGGAGCAGTGCCCGCAGCCCCCACTCCCAGGCGATGGGTTAAGCTAGACACCTGCCAGGCTTTGCACGAGACGCGTTGCCTTTTACCGCCCGGCGCTAAGCGCAGCGCAGGCTTTCGTCTGCGTTGGCCAGCTCGCCGCGGCCGCGCGTTCAAAAAAAACGCGCAGCGAGCTCGGGGACCCCCCGCCTCGTGCCCTGCTCACCCCGATGCTGTCGGTGCTTCGAGCTCTTTGGGGCTTTTTCCTTGCTGTTCACGCAGCCTCTCCTCGCCGGTGCTGCCGTCGCTCGCTCCGGGCCCTGGCAACGACGACGGCTCTAACGAATATTAAGGTGCATTAGCAAGACGAGGCCGGCCACGCAGCAGACGTCAGGAGCTCCTCCTCAATCGTTTCCAACCAAGAGAGGGATACGGTGTCCGTGACCATAAGAAGAGCAGAAAAATCTTGTGCAGGGAATTACGCCTCGTTCTTGGGGCTAGCCAGCTCCTGGCCGGGCCCCGAGATCACCAGATTAGTTTCTTTTCTTGCTGTGACTTAATTGTGCTGTACGGTGCTTGTGTTGGGGATGTGGTTTCCTTGCCTATATTTAGTTTGATATCGGCTGGGGCATGCGGG